AACAAGTGCGTCTTGGAGGAAGTGTGTAAGCAGGATGCCCTTAGAGGAGGAGGAGACTGTTGCACATACTGTGGGCCCATTTTCTGCAAACATTCTTGGTCCTGTTGTTGGGACAGGCCAGTCCTTGTTAAAAGACATCATGCTGAGAAAAGAGGTCAGAGACAGGCCCTCCACAAGACAGATTGACACAGAGACCGTAACAGTGGTCTTGAGCAGATGAGAGATTGTGAAGGTGGTGCTGGGTAGGACGAGGTTCAGACCTGTTGTTCGTAAGGTCGCTATGAGTCACAGTCAACTTGATGGAAGCTAACAACTTTCCCACCCCCTTCACCTAGACGGTACACTTTTCTCTGTAGAGGCTTATCTGGAAAGCCCATATCCTCTCTCTCATACACATACATACAGTAAAATGACTTTTTCTACTCTAATTCATCTTCAAGATTGGTTTTTCTGCTGGCAGGTGCCAGATTCGAGGTTTTCTGGTCATAAGAGAAGCTCCCACAGGGTATGGCCAGGAACACCCTTAATCTCTGTAAAGACAAAGGGGAGGAGAACAAGCCAAAATAAGGACCCTTTGTTCCACCAAGGTACAATCGCCAGGAGTTTATGGATCCCCGTCTCTGAACGACAAAAGTCCTTGATGAAATCTGGGCCTGCAGATGCTGAAATGAACTAAGATTTTCCTCCAAAACTGACAGAGAGATGGTCTTCCCTGTAGGGCTTAAATCCTGAACTTAGACTTCCAGACTCCTAAACTGTAGGATAAATGTTTGTTAAGGCCATCCCTTGTGGTGACTGTTACAGCACCATTAAATAACCAAGACGTCCTCTATACCGGGAGCTCCTCCTCTGCTGAGGCCTCCATTCCAGACAAGGGCATTGGCATCAAGAGTTTCTGTGTGCCAGACCTGCTTAGATAGGCAGAATTCCTGTCCCATCAGATTGAAGCTTGGCTATAAACCCCACTCCTAACTGCTGTCAGGTTGCTTAGGACTCACAGGAACCCTCTGCTGTCAGGTTTATAAGGCTCTAAGTGTTTATTGGGAAGGAAGTGGCAATCTTTCCCCCACAGTGACTGGTGGATTCTAACCACTGACCTTCCTGGTTATCCACTGCACTACTAGGGCTCCTGTAGGCTCTAACAGTGGTGGATGTAGTTCTCAAGTCCCAGAATATGAGATTATGTAGTAATATTTCCAGTATGTCATCTGTAACAATTCAATTGTTTCATAAATGATGTAACCTTCTGTGGACTGTCTTTGAACCTCTTCACCTACAAGCAAGTTGCTTAGGAAGCAAATGACTCCCAAGTTCCCATCAGCCAAGAAAATATGGGGCCAGAACAAAACTCATTTAACCCATACACATGATGGAAAAAGTAAGTCATTATGAGGCATTAATAGTATCTTTAACATATATTTGGAAAAGCAGTTTTTAAAAAACACTTGAAAATACAAGGTAACAGTTACTTATATAAGTTTTAACCTTATATTGCTTGGCCATTTTTACATATAAATTATTGCTTACTAGCTTTGATAAATACACAGCACAGTCATATATACAGAGGCGGAAAGCGTGAAATATGAGAAGGAAAACACTGTTAATGGCAATTCTGGTAATTCAACCCAAGTTTCATATTTACCAGCTCTTCTAATGGTGGAAAACTACAAAGTGTAGTCCCTGAGAAGTTAGGTAGACACCCTAATAGTGGGCCTTCTATCTCCTAATTGTTAATGCAAGCTGACAAGGTCACAGCAGTCCTAGTTAATGAAACATCTAAAAGGCAAGGTTCCTTGCTTCAGGTTGTTGATTTCATCTCAGTATTTAATAACAGTGTAATATGAATACAATAAATAGGCTATGCAAATAAATATTACTCTGCTAAAAAAATGTTTAGTATATACAGCTTTGCTTTATACAGTAGTACATTTTCATCTAACATTTTTTTGGCAATTAAAAAAAACAAAACCAAACTCCTTCCCCCCGAGCAATCTGAAGAACAACTGGCCCACTTGCTGCTAAGCAGGCTGAAATTTTAAGGACATGGTTTTTTATTAAGCCTTCCAAACAACCCTGTGTTGGACAACCACAGTGGACCTCATTGTTCCAATTTTTAAAAACTTTTCTGTTTGATTTCTGAGAAGCTTGGATTGGTGGTGTCATTTAGGAAAACATGGTTTGAAATCTGTTGCATGCATGGTGGATGGCTTTTAACTGTGGGGCTAAAGAATAGGATAGCAGGAAACACCCAGAGAGCCCCAAAACTCACCCAGGCTCTTTCATACAACCCTCCCCCGATCCACTGGGAGGTGCCTCCACATGTCTTCTCCCCACTGGATGAGGGGAGGGGGTTTTGACTTTACCCTCATGCTTCCAAGTTCAAAGTAAGCTCCACCCTGGTCAACTGTGGCTAGGGGTGTGGATACGGAAGTTACTCTAAATAGCCTAAAGTGAATGTAAGTCACATTATTTATCACAACTATTTGGCAATTATAGAGATGATAGCAGAATGAAATTCAAAACACTGTAGTCTTTGGATCATCTGCAAACGTGCACGTGAAAAGAAAATCTGAAAAGGTGGTTGTTTTGTCTCCAGACCTGTTTTGGAACGGTGATGAATCGGAGTCGGGCTGTGGCAAAAAGGAACTACTTACAAGTGCCTCTGTCTCATTTACTGATGAAATGAGTATATTACGTAAGACTGTCAGAGGGAAGTGTTTGTTATGTCTAACAATAAGCTTAGAAGTCTTGCAGCCCACCCTTCTGGCCTGAGCAAGAACCCTTTTCAAAGAGGCGTTGGCAAATATCTGCAGATGGAAGTAGGTCCTCTATTACCAGGCAGCATCCTATGTTGAACACTCACTGCCGGGCAGCTCCGATTTATTAGAAAGAACTCCTTTTCCTTTCCAGCCCTGAAAGGCCCAAGTCCATGGCTGGAAGAGGTGGACAAGCCCCATTTCTCCCTCGCCCACTGACAACCTCACACGCAGGGTTCCCTGAACACACCATGTGAAACGCACTGAACAGAATGTTTTTAAATGCAATGTATGTGTGGCTTCTCTTGGTGATGTGTGTTTGAACTGGGGCTTTTGGAGCAGGCACTGAGCAGAAGTAATTCTCCAATGAAAATGAGTCCTCTAGAGGTAATGTTCTGATTGAAGCAAAGTAAGTCTAATCTGAAAAAGAATTTAAATTGTAATACATAGAGACAATATCAACATGGTCTTCTACGCTGAACTAGTCAAATCCTACTGCTAGCTTAGGGAAAAGAACACCCGTGGGCCTCTTATTGTGGAGAATCACCAAGGGGAGAGCTTTGTGAGGGTCTGATCACCCTAGGAGGGCAGTTCCGCTGACCCCTCTCCTCCAGTGGGTCTCATTCCATTACCTGCAGTAGGAGGAGGGCACCACTGGGTAAACCAGCCCTGCTTCTTTGTAAAACCCTGGCCACTCTCAGGACTGAAGTTGTATGTACATGGTGGGCTCGGCTGAGTTTCTTACAGTCCTACCCAGCATTTGTCTCCCCATGGGTCCTCTTGTGATGTCTCAACCCCAGTGTAGTCCCTGAGGCAGGGAAACAGCACATCTGTGAAAGTGCCAGGAAGCACTGGGCATACCTCAATTGTGAGGATGAATGAGGCAGTGATGAGACAAGTGGGAGATCACTCCTCACGGGCATCAAGGAGAGGGGCCGGCATCTCCAGCCCACCAAGCAAGGCCCCTGAACTGTAGCAAATACCCTGAATGGAGGGGCACATTCAGTGATGTCATCCCACAGGACTTTCTGATCAATGAAAGCTTATGAAGACCTTTAGAGAAAAGCAGGTGGTCTTAATTACTATAGAGGGGAGCTCCAGCTGACAAAAAGGGTATTGAAACAAAGATGACCTTGAGGTCTTGAGTAAAACCAAGATGCAAGACAGCACAGCTTCCTACTATGGTGGGAAGGGACTACAGGACTTGGGAAGCCCCAGTGGAAACCTCACATTTGGATAGTTGGGGCTGTTCATGTGCTGAAAGCCTGGAGTCACCATGGCACGATGCTGTTCTCTTTTGCAGTGAGTGCCAAGTGCTTCACACACTAGCTTGTATGTAACCTGCCTACAAGTGGACCCGGGGCCTGCCTGAGGTATTCAAACATCACCAGGGACAGCCCCTCACATCTTTGCGAATGTCACCTCAAATAGCATTGCCAAAGTGCCCACTGTGTGTTGGGAGCTGTGCTTTTCCCAAATGCCACTGTTAACCAGTAGGAGAGCAGAATCTGTTTACGAATGTAAAGATGACTCCCAGAAATTAAACACTGAGTCCGTTTCTTAGAGATTATTCCTTTTCCTTATTGGCAAAGCGACTGAGTCTAACTTGCCTACAGAGTTGCAAATGAGTTGTGCAGAAACCAGTATCACTCGCAAGCATACATCACAGGTGATTGTGGGCGTGAAGAAACACATGTCCTGCCACTTCTCATCCGAAGATCAGCGTGGATGTCAGCTGCTGGCCCACACTAGCTCCCTGGACACAGTGGCTTTTGGTGATGTCACCACCGTGTAGAGAAATTCTGAAGAACCACGTCTTTGACAGCCAATATACAGTGATCTACTGCCAGGCTAAGTGAAATTTTCCCTGCTTCATGCACGTTCTTACTGAAACGCTGGTCATTGTGTGACAAGACATGTTTTCTTGCCTTGGCACCGGCACATCTTACAAATTGAAAAATGGTTTGAATCAACAATGTTATCACAAGAAGCCAGACTTTGCATCTCAAGAATGCTGCTCGTTCCCTTTCTGTCTTCTCATTCCTAGTGGAGTGCTGAGAGGCCACCCCCATCGCCAGTGGCTGACGTCACCTCCTGAACAAGCCGGGGTCAGCTTCCTGTGTCTGTCTTGTGATATGCTGATAAAACTCAGCAACTTCTCTTCTCACAGGAAAGCAACGTGCTTGCCATAGACATTCCTGTAGCTCAAAGTGCTGCATTTCAGGGGAGGTGAGGCGGCGGGGCTCACAGCCGGGGCTCGATCCGGTGTGAGAGCTCAAACAGGGCCTGCTGGCTGTCAATGACGTACAGGTGATTCACGTAGGATTTCAGCTCCTGATGCTCTTTTGGAGACACGTCACCTCCTAATATTTAGAGAAAGAAAGTCAATATCATTAAAGCAATAATGACATTTCTAAAGGCCAGTAAAATTCAACACTGGGAATGAAGCTACAAGGTCAGAATCCTTGAAGAGATACCATATTCCCAATAGCAGCAATGTTCTTCCAGCGCAAATAGGATTCCCTGGGTCAGTTAATCAGGGAGCAGAGATGTCTGCTTTATGAACACTTATACAGCATTTATTTCTAGGTAAAATTATGCGTTTAGTACTTAGGTTGTTATTTTTTTCCATATGGCAGGAAACTGGGTCACAGAACAAGTGAGTAGCAGAGAAAGGATTTGAACTCAGGCCACTTAGCCCCTAAATCCATAGCCTGAGCTTCCACGCTATGCAGCCTTTCATATCAATTGCTCCATTTAAATGGCCTGTATTGGCTCTTTCCTCTCATTCTGGAATTGTCAGATATCACTACTAACTTCATGAGCACGTGTGCATAAGTTATTATTTTATACTTTTTGAGGAAAAAAAATTAGAGATTAAATGAATGACTACATTGCACAGAAGAGAAATGTGAGTATAGTTTACAGTCAAAATAGTTCAGAAACAACGTGCATGGGCTCAGATCTGTCCAGGAAAGGTGGTTCCCTGCTCCCAAATGCAGGGCAGTCAGAGGACTGAAGGGGTTGCAAGAGGCTTCAGTTTACTGTAAAACCATCTGGCTGGTGACAACTCTAACAAGGCAGTGAAGATAAAGGGGCCTGAACAAAGGCACAGGCCCACGTCTCAGAGTCAGAGCAAATACAACAAGGAGAGGCTGGCTAGCTTACACGATAAAAGTACAGCATCAATGTGAATGATCGTGATGTTGCTTCTGCTTGGTTTCATGGAATTATAGATGGAAAAGAGCAGTTGGAAACTGGAATTTAGCTTCAGCAAAGGGAACACTCCTTTTAGGAAGGGTCCAGAGAGGTTGATCTCTTAATGGTTTTCCCTCCTCTATGACAAACGTGTTTGAGGAGGAAATAACTACAGGTCACGGGTGGCCTGTAACTTTTTAATGGAAACAAGGCTTCTTGGTTTCAGCAAATAAAAGCACCAGAAGCCAAATTTTTTATCATTCTACTTGTTTGGAAGTGACAAAAGTATGTATTATTCTAGGTTTTTAAATACCTGCTCTGCAAGCTATTGAGGCTGCTTTTGGATTAATAAACAATGGCTTAGAAAACTTTATGCTGCAATAATTTTGTTAATTTTCAGGGCTTAAAATGATGGCAGAACAAATGATACCAACCATGACAGTTGTTAGACACTTCATAAATCATAAATGGCTTGATAAGTATCATTGCATTCCAAATGCTGAGATAGGTTGACTGTGCTGACATAAACTATCATCATGAAGTGAGATAATAGTTTTAATTCTAATTTTTAAAGACATAAAAATATTACAAAACCAGTTTTAATAGTAATTTTTTTTAAAATTCTTCTTTTGCTTTATGCTATGCAGATTTAGTACGGAGACTGGTAGGTCCAATGTAGTTCAAGGACGGCCAAGCCAGTGTGACCTGACAGTACACAGTGACAGCACATAAGGACCAGAGTTCCTTGGCAAGTGAGACTGGTGTCTTGGGATAAGTAGAGCACCTAGTAAATAGTTGGGAAGCAAACAAAGAAGAGCGAAAGAAATAAGAACTCATACTCATCAGCAACAGTATATTCTAGTGTGTTTCCAATTATATTAGAACAATTATCATTGTTGTTTCTATTATAACTGCATTGTCCCTGTGTACTTTGTGGAGAATTATACAAACACGTATGAATGGTAATCCCTTATGTGGATATTTAGGAAATTGGATTTCATATTTATAATATTCCTTTTCAAACAGAAAACGTTAATCCATACACAAGTTCAGCTTGTTTAAAGAAATGGTTTTACAATGAGAATATACAACTTAAAAAACCAATTTATTTAAGGGTCATCTTTGATTGACTTGTAATTAATGAACTTGGTTTCCTTTTATTTTTTTAAAATAATCACTCCTTTATATGTGTAGACTTGGCACAAGGCAAAGAAAAGGTTTGGGCAAGGATGTAAAGTAAACTTGGTTTGAACTCTAGCTCCGTCAGCTACTAAGTGACTGTGTTAACCTCCCTCTGCCTGTCTGCTCCATGTACCTGACAGGACTAAGGACGTTCCTTCCCTAGGACTGGTATCAGGACACCACTGCTTGGGTGGGACTGGGCTCTAGGCACTCAATAAAGCTGATTTCCTTCCTTACAGCAATGTTCCAACACCCTTGAAACAAAGTGTAAAAACTGCCTGACATTTAAAAAAGAACAAATATCCCCACATAACTTAGTCTCACTGGAGAGCCTAAGAACATGCTCAGAAAGAGACTTTTTCAGCTGAGAGGCAGCTTCAGACTGGAAGTTTTTAGTGAAGAAGAGAATATACACTGGAAGCCTGCTTGGGTACTTGTGCAAACTACAGGCCAGCCAGGAGGCCCCTTAGAGACAAGGATGAGGGCTTTGTCTCACGTTCTTTGGATGTGTTATCAGGAGAGATCAATGGCTGGGGAAGACCTTGTGCTTGGGGGAGGAGTCAATGATAAAGAAGACTTATGAGAGACACTGAGCAGACTGTGCAAACTTGGCGGAGATTGTGAGGATGGGGAGGATTGAGAAGAGCTTTGTTCTGTTGTCCACATGACTCGATGGCACCTAAAACCCTCCCAACTACAAAACCTCATTCTGTTCCAGAAAGCCTTCAGACAAGGAGGCTGAGGCTCCTTTTTTCCATAAACTGTACACTCAGAGCACTGAGAGGACAAGAATCCACCATATCTTGGCTTTCTCTGCATGGCAAACACGTGGTAATAAAATGCAAAGTATATTAGATACCTACAGTCTGTGTAATTACATGCATATTAGCTCTTAATCATAAACCTTATTATTGTCTAATCTTGTAAAATTTATTACCACCAAATAAATACTTGGTACACAGCCACAGTCTGTAGTTGTGCATAGCAAATTTCCATTCCACACTTGACTTCTGTTACTCACCAAACTGGTTGGTCCTACAGTGTCGAAGAGTTCGGACAGTGTCTGCGATCATATGCTGGAAGGTAGAAGGAAACATATCAGCAAAGGATTGAGTGGGACACCCCAAAGCACCAGTGACCACTGTGATTGCTAGCTAGGTCAACACCTTTGGACCGAAACGGAAGGGCTATATTTTGGAAGTGAATATAACTTGAACTAATTATACTGAGTGTGAGTTATCAAAAAACTCTTGGTCCTCACCTCATCCACAGAACAGTGGCTCCTTGTTTGTACAGATGCTGACTGTGTCTCAGGGAAACAGACAGCAAACAAATGCAGCACCCTCCCCAACCTGCCTGCCCACTGCTGCTCAAGCTTCTCTTTAGACCATGTCACCTGCTCTTCATAAAACCTTTCTGAGTTCTCCATTTAAACTAGGGAGACTCCATCTACAACATTCCCTCTTCTCCTTGTACTACATCTATTGGGCTTGGGTGGCTGTATCTACTATAAAACTTTTCTCTGCTTGAGGCCAAGTGTATCTGAGATTGTCCATATCCAGCACCCAACACACATCATACTCATAAACTCAAAATGTACTTAATATTTTGTAGAATTACAGACTCAAGAATCTCAAATGGTGACAGGAAATGAGTTATTCATGAAAGAGGACTGTTTACAAAAATATTACTCTTTCTAGAGATTCTTTTCTGTCTATAATTTACATCCCCCTCCTATAGTCTTCAACCTTCTACTTCCATTTCTTTCTGTAAAGTCCTAATTGGTCACAAGGCAAAGTTTTCTGAAACTCTCAGCTACTTCTGCCGAGTGCCTTTCACCTCACATTGTGTAGCTGTAGCAGTGTGTGGCCTCTTTGTCAACTGTCTCAGTTTTCCAAGACACATACAATTTAGGAGGAGCCCATTCCCTACTGCCAATACTGGATGCCTCGGGCCCATGGTGCCTCAAGTGGGTCAGAGCAGAGTTGGGCTCTACAGTTTTCAATGACTGTTTTTTGGGAAGGATGTTACTTGATCTTTTTCCTTTGGCACTTCCAGGTGGACCCGACTTCTAATCTTTCACTTAGCCAAGCATGCTAACCATTTATACCATCCAAGGGTTCCAGTCTCCATTACAGTTCCCTTGAAAGTGTTAACTAGGATAATCCCCAAATGTTGTTTTTATTATGTTCTAGTATTTCCAAAAGGGAACTTTGGTGTCTTGTAGTAAGGAGTTGCACTACAAACTCAAAGGCATATGGTCTGAATTCACCAGCCACTCCATGGGAGAGAAATAGGCATTCTCCTCCCATGCAATTTACTGCCTCTAAAAACCCAGCTGGAGGGTCAGCCATGAGTTGGTTCAGATTCTATGGTACACAATAATAACAAGAGTATTCCTGAAGAATCTACAGTAACTTCTCCTTTATTATCTTAATCCAAACATCGTAATAGTATAGAGCTTGTGTCGGGGATGATAAAATGCTTGTAACCAGAACATAGTGAAAATTACACAGCATAGTGAATGCACTTAATGTCACTGAATAAATACATACTTAGAAATGGTTGCAATCACAAATTTTATGTTATATATGTTTTATCACAACAGTATTTTTCAAAAATGTACACCACTGATTATTTGCTCCTCCAACATCCTCCACGGTGGGTTATGATCTTTCATGCCTGCCAGAGAACCCTGGACATGGATCTGTCTCTACACAGCAAACTTTCATTTCATTAATTAATTATTGCTGTAAGAATTTAAAAAAAAAGGAACTGGGGGGGGGAAGAGGGAGAGGTAGCAAAACAGGCAATACTGAATGAATGAAAATCTAACTTTTCTGTAAACTTTTGTTAAAATCACAAAATAAAAAATTTTATTTAAGATAGTAATTTTAATAGAAAAAAATCTGCTTGAAATCCAGCAGAATTACAGAAACATTTAAATATGACTGACTGGTTACATCATTTAATAGTGGAAACTGAAAAAGCACCATGATTCCAAGAGTAGCTTGAGCTGCATTTGCAAAGGAAATGAGACTTGACTACTATCTGTGAGTGTATTGTTCAATTTCCTTCCCAAAATTTCCCCGCTATTACCAAGATCATTTTCTCCTTGTTCTAAGCTATAGTGTCACATTGATTTCTATCATGTACCATTTGCATAGCTCAGAAATGACACAATGCTGGGTATTGAGTGCAGTACTGAAACCTGAGCCCTCGTCCTCATCCTTTATGTTTCCTGAAGTGCAGGAGTGAATTGCTCAATAAACAGGATAAGAACAGGCTAACTTATGCCTACACTGTTGTTGTTGTTAAGTGCCATCAAGTCGTCGACAACTTATAGTGACCCTCTGAATGAAAGACCTGAACACTTGTATAATTTTCATTGTTTCACCAGGTTCATAGGGTTTCCGGAGGCAAGCTATTTCAGAAGTGGATGCCACTCCTGCTTCCAAGCTTGTTTTAATCGGGAGTTCCACCAAACACTGTCCACCATGGGTAACCATTATCGAATTTGACAAATCAGTGTCACAGCATCACAGCAACCATGAGTTACCTCTGTACAGCAAGTGAACATATGCCTACATACTAACCTATAATTGGGTTTCACCACTTCTGTGGTAAAAAAGGTGGAACTATCCAGTGTAGATTACTAAGCAAGACTAAGTAAACATGTACATATCTTGCTTACTGGGTACTCCAGTCCTGCCAGGAAAAGTAAACATGAAAACAGGCTTTGACTGTGCAGGAAGGTGCTGCAGGGTTGGGACAGGGACAGACGTCAGCCATACCCAGAAGCAGGGTCTTTTAATTTGGTGAACAAATTTGAACTTGTTCACTATAGATTAGTAACTAAGCCTTTGTTTATCTTGCTTCTTGAGTAAGCTGACATTGTTGAAGGTGGAAGGAGAAATACGGTAAAACAAGAAACTCTTTAACAGTTAATTGAGGAGATAGAACAGAAAGGAAAGCATTGCTTCTCCTATATTTAATATTGCCACTGGAGGCAGAAACATACAGAGCTGCTGAGGCAGCAAGGAACTTAGCACAGGGAACAACAGAAGTCCCAATAGCCATTTCTGGGTTTCCCTAGGGTGTGACTTAATGTGTTAGTCTGTACTGACCAGATAAAGGCAATACACTGAATTATCTCCTAGCAGACTCAAGTTAAAATCCATCAAGAGAAATTGGCTTCTCACAAGTTAATTCATTTAGACTCTATTGGTTCATTATGGTGAAAGATGATCACGCTGTAGCTTAAGGGAAACCCTGTCCTTTGTCGAGAAATGTTCCTTGAAAATGCTGGCTCAGCTCTGAAGGACTGTGTCGCCCTCTGGGATTTAAGAACAGCAGAGTGCTTGTACTCTGGAAAACTAAGTTTGTTCTTTTGGAAAAGCTTCTACTGTTCCCCCTTCTTCTCAGACAAGGAGGGGTCAGCATGGATCATGCTGTGCCTTAAGTACTGTCTTTCTTGAACCCCTGGTCCTCCTACCAGGGCACCAGCTTTCAGTAGAAATGACAGTGGCTGTGAGCCTGAGTCTGCTAAGAATCTGCTGTGGGTACTGCACCCCATTTCTAGGCTTCTCTTTAATAAAATATCTTTTCAGGAACTTAAATCTTTAAAACAGATGACTATTTCTTTTATGCTTTGTGATTTCCTTAAACCTTCCTATAGAACTAAAATCAATGCCAAACCTATTGCCCTGAGTTGACTTCTGACTCACTGTGATCCCACAGGACAGAGACCTGCCCTATAGGGTTTCAAGGCTGTAAATCTTTCTAGGAACAGACTTCTACAGGAGTGGTTGATAAGTTAAAACAGCCGACCCTCAGGTTAGCATTCAAGAGTGCTGACAATATTCCTAATACAAGTACATGTATTTAGACTTTTGACAGCTTAGCACAAATAGGACCATGACTGTATTGGTTGCAGTAGCTGCCCTCAAGACACCTTCAAATCATATTTTTAATAGAATGAGACATTGCCTGGTCTTATGCCATCCAAAGATGACATCACCAAACCCAAACGCACTGCCATTATCTATTCTGACCCACAGCAACCACACAAGACAGGGCAGAACTCTCTCATAGAGTTCTCAAGGCCATAAATCTTTAAGGAAGCCGACTGTCTCACCTTTCCCCTTCAGAGTTGGTAGATTTGAAATGCCATCCTTTTGGCTACAAGTCAAGGTAAGGATTCATACTTGAAAATCTCAAACTATCATCAAGTTGGTTCCAACTCATAGCAACTTTCTATTGGGTTTCTGGGGCTGTAAATCCTAATGGGAAGTGAGGGCCCATCTTTTTCCTTCCGTGATGCTGGTGGATTTGAACCAGAAACTCTGGGTCTTTGGTTTAGCAGTGTAACTTAATACGGACTATACTATATACTTACTATACACCACCAGAGCTACCTTAGGGCACCTAGAGCTGACATTAAAAAGGACTTTTGTTGCTCTGAATTGGAGCATCCTAAACTGGAAGAATCAATGCTTCTGAGTTGTGATGTTAGAGGAAAGTCTTGAATATGCCATGGACCACCAAGAAAACAAATGGGGCTGTCTTGGAGAGGGTAAAACCAAGTTTCTTTTTGGAGGCAAGGATTCTGAAGCTCTGTCTCACACACTTTGGGCACATGGCCAGAAGGAATCGGTCCTTGGAGAAGGACATCATGCTTGGAAGGTGAAGGGACAGTGCAGGAGAGGAAGACCCCAGATGAGATGGACTGATACAGTAACTGGGGCAATGGGGCTTGGTGTGTCAGAGTCAGTGAGACTGGCTCGGAACAGGGCAGGCTTCAGAGCTGTTGTCGCTATGGGTTGCAGGTGACTCAACTGCACATAACAATAACAACAAACTGTATAAGAATAATTTTCCATTTGTTAAAACAAAACAAAACAAAACAGATTTGCTAGATTACTGAAGAAAGGCATGGGAATGCTAGCTAGCTGGTCAGAATTAAAAGTGGGAAAGGGGTAGGGATCCACTCTTTCAGATTTGTGCCTTTAGGAAACTTCTATCTCACTTTGGTAAAACTACTGCATGAGGGTAAAGGATATAAAAAACTTAACCCAATCAGCATTTACACCCTTAATAACAGATAATGGCAGTCTGGAAAGAGTACAACTGTTCACCTTTGTCTCCTATGAGTTATTCAGCAGTAAAAAAAAAAATTAGCTTTGATTCAAAATTTTATTTCATATAACAAATCTCATCTCATCTTTTTATACATGCCCTAAAGGGAACTCTGTCTAGTGCACAAGGAGTTACACTTCCAGTCCAAAGTCAAGCAGTTCAAATCCACTCTGAAGGAGAAAGACGGGAAATTGCCTTCTGTGTGATGAAACCGTTCTTGAAAACCTGCTGGAGGGTCTGCCATGAGTCAGTTCTGACTCAACGGTATACAATAATGGACCAAGACTAAGTGAATGTGGACCAAAGGCTTCATAATCCTGTAATCATTTCCTAAATACCGAACACTGAAGATTGGTCTGCTTAGAGACTAAAATTCTAGTGCCTACAGCCTTTGGTTTCAAATATATGCCTTGTGATCTTTAGAACATTACAGAAATCAACACAGAACAAATCTCTAAAGGCCAAATACAAAAGATTAACATTTTAAATATTCATTTCCTGCTATGCTGGTTTGACTGAAGCATCTAAAAATATCTTGGTTCTGACTCCAAAGCATTTAGCACAGAAGAGAATTTAAAAGTTACAGACACTTCCATTTCCAAAATAATGAACTGTCAAACAGTCATTTTCAAAGTGGTTTTGATGGAGCCGTGGCTATCCTGAGACACACGTCTTTCAGATTCCAGGTAGTTGGGTATTTGAGTTGGGCATGAGTTGACTGCACTGTCATCCTCATGCTTCATGCTGTGAGTCTGATGATGAGAGCTGAACACGTAGGAGGCTTGGGTCAGGCTCCAGCCTCATTTGGACTAACAAGTTCCCTCTGCTCTCTGGGCATGGTCTGCAGCCCTGACTTCACTCGCCTTCTCTCAAATGCTTCAGCTACTCACACAGGGCCGTGGTGCTCAGCTCATGAGACAGCTTACACAAATCGATTATCATTATTGAAAAGGTCGCTCAAAGGTCATGAGCTACAGATAGAGGTCCCTGATAGCATCTTTAACCGTGAAAGACAGTTTAATCTATGACACTAAAGTTCATCTGTCAGACAAATCCATCACTCTGGTAGTTAGTCTGAATTTGCTTTGAATTCTTTCCTCCACCCTGCCCTCAGATAACTGCTTAGTTCTTACAGGACTGGTCAGAAAGGCTCAGAGTTGCTCACTTCATGATAAAACGCCAGGTATGTCCTAGAAAGCCGGTTCTGCAATCTGGGAAAGAAGATAATCTGGGAACTCTACTGGTGGGTGGGACAGGGACTCTGCCAGAACTACTCTGTCCTTCAGCCAGGTGGATTGACACAGTGACTGCTGCAATTCTAATGTGTCAGGATGTGAGGATGGCACAGGCTAGAACAAGGTTCCGATTTTTTGTTCATAGGGTCACTATGAGTCATACTCGACTCAACAGCAACTAACTTTGTCCACTGTACTTAGAAGTGGCCCTGAGAGACCACAGGCTATGTGGGAGGAAGCTGAGCTGACTCTACCCTTCATGCACTCCCTCTTTAAATAAAATTTCAAAACCACCCTGCTGCATGGAGATTTTGTTACACAGCAGAATAGCTCTAAAGAGTTTTCTGGGCCGTAGTCTTCAAGGTGGAGTCCTCGTGTGGCACAGTTAAGTTCTTTATACTAGTTGAAAAGTCAGTAACTTGAACCAACCCATTTGGAAAGTCTAGAGATCTCCTTCTGAGAGTTCCCAGCCTTGAGAAGCCTATGGCGTAGACCTACTATGTACATGTGGGGTGACCATGGGTCAGGACCAATTTGATTCTGGCCTTTCAGTGAGTAGCTCAGAGTAAAAAGTTTTCTCTACCCAAAGATCATCCTTTCTGTACAGATACTGCAAAAGCCACGATCACATCCAAACATGGAGTACTGGAAGACAGACATATCCTTCCTAAAAGGAGATTTTCCCACTTCTATACCCCTGGAACAGGACATGCTGGAACAGAGACTTGCGCCTTTAATTAAAGCAGAAACACTTAACCTCATGAATGTGAATTGCTTCAGACAGGAATCTGATGATTTTATTCCTGCCTTAATAATACACATTTGACCACTGATGCTAATCCAATTAAGCTCTGCATGTAAAAAGAAAAAGACAGGTTTTCATTTTAGCATGCAATCCTATTCTCAAAACCTTGCTAGCACACTGATTTTTAATTGGAACACATCCTGTTGACAATGCCCAAGATGTAGTAAATAAATGCCTGGAAACCCCCGTACTTTCCATGGAGACAGAACCTTAAACCACTTGTTTGCTGTAGTAGGGAATGAAAGCCCACATTTCTGCTGCAAAGAAGAAAGGACAAGAAAGGAAATTTACATACCAGCTTTTCAAAGTTGACGAGATTATCCAAAAAGGTTTTATTTCCTTCATGAATAAATGTTACATCTGAAAATGAAAAACAAAGAGATGTATGAAATTTTATTAGCAACACATCACCTATCAGGGTTTAAGAGTGCTAGACAGAATGCAATGTATTAATTTTTCATAAACAGTTAGTGGTAGTTAGGGATCATTCTATACCATTGACAGGCATCCAGGGATGTCTTGGTGGTAGGGAGCTCTGGTGGCCTAGTGTTTAGGGAGTTGCACTATCAACCTAAAGGCAAGCGGTTTGAATCTACCAGCTACTCCTCAGGAGAAGGATGGGCAGTTATGAATCAGTTCTAACATGACAACAGTGAGTGAGAGAGGCAGGCACAGAGCCAAGGAGACAGAAAGAACAGCATCAAGCTTCTCTAATTAGCACAGTGAAAGATCTGCTAACCTTCTAGAAAAAAGAGAACAGCTTAAAATCCCTACCAGACAGAGAAAGCTACTGCATTTAATGAATACTTTTATTCTGCTTTTTCCTATAATAATCACAGAAACAGTCTGAACTGTTCACTGTAGCTGTACTGAAACACGAGGTCTTGGAACAATAAAGTATGATTCTAGTTATATTGTTATCAGGGACACTAATACAACCCCTCCTCAGGAAATATTTTTGCATAGCTTCCAATATAGACCACATTACTGTTTTCATATTTTTAAAAGTGATGTCCTACTAGGGGGGAAAAAAAATCCAGACTAATTACACAGTCTTCTGACAAACTTTCTTGTTGTTTTACTATTTTTTCATAATTTTGCTTTTGAAAGTAATTATCAGCTTCGTGCAGTGGCACTGTATTGAGGACACAGTCGTCAACACAGTCAGCATAGCAAAGGAAACCCTGTGTGTGCTCTAACAACACCACAAAGACTGGCACGTCCTCATTCACCAAGCTTTCCAGATGACCAAAGTCCTCTCCATGCCACTTGTCCATTCTCCAAGGTTAAGAAGTTTATCATGTCCATTCATGTTTCCCAAAGATGATGAGGACAAGGATGACAACATGACAGCTGATATTATTAACAGCACCAGACATGGTGCCATTAAGGACTTCCCCTATATTAAGGCTTTAACCTTCACAAAAACCTAGAAGATAAACTCAAAGGCAAAAGAGTTTGAAGACACTAAAGAGTTTTGCTGCCAAACTAAAAGCAAGCAGTTCGAATTCACCAGCTTCACTGAGAAAGAAGGGCTACCTCCTCCCATGTGACTTACAACCTCAAGAAACCCCTTGGAGAACCAGCTATGAGTTCATTCCAACCTGACAGTAAATAACAACAACAGCAACAACAACAACAACAACAACAGGCCTGTGGTCATTGGCAGTTGGCTCAAACTTACAAACTCAGAAATTTCAGAGCCAGGACTCAACCTCAGGTCCTCATGTTGGGGCATTTCCCACTGAGCGTACTCGGACATTTCTGAATACCAATAATGGTCACCTTGACAAATTTATGGTGTAGCTGGTACCTTTAAACTTACAAAGTTCTTTCTTCAGCTTCCCTTCTCTCTACTGCCTGAGGTGTCCCTGAGGGGTCTCCTCTTTCTGGGAGGTCCTTCATCAGCTCTTAGGGCCTTGCTGAGGTCAACAGAGAGAGGACAGCTACTCTAAAAAGCTCAGGCTCATTGAGGTGGTGCTAATGGAAGGATAAAGGAAAGAAAACATTCAGAGTATTGGTGACAAGGAGCAAAAGTGTGGCCATGACGTCTGATGTCTGAGCTGCATGGGGCAGGAAGAGGAGCTGGGAAGGAGAAGTGGAAGGGCGCAAGGGACTGAACATTGGAAGGAGCTGAGCTATGATGAAGGCATGAATGGGAAAAAAACTAACACAAACTGAGATCTCAAAGTTAAAGTCACTGAGGTGAAGCAGTTTCATGGTGCAGAAATAGGTCCAGGGTACAAGAAATGAGCATATTCAAGACCTTTTTCAAGAAGAGACAATTGGACATACTTTAAACACTTCATAAGCTAGAACTGCTGGAGGAAGTGACACAAGAGCCTTGCACGAAATGTGTTCCTTGGAGTGGACTGCAAGTGAAAGAAAAAGAATACCAAGGTACTCGAACTTTCCTTTCCATTAAACATTCCCTGTAAATAAAATACATACATCCACCCTAAACCACATACATAATCTACCTCCAGGATCCAGTTTATCTTAAAACACCTCTTGATTATTCATCCCCTGGGAAGGTACCACCACTTTCAAGCACAATAAGGACCCCTCAGCTCTTTCTGACCTTAGGGCTTCGTGACCTATGGCCCAGCTGGACCTTTCCCAGCACTTATTGAGGCCTCCATTCATCACTTTCTGAGCCAGAGTCCATACCACAGCGGGGGGCACAGTGAATCAAATGGCAAGAAATTCAATTGAGAAACAGGAAAGCTGATGGTTAGGAGGATCCTCTGGTTATCATCTAGTTGATAATTTGTATGTTTCCTGGAAATTGAGAAGTTTGTTCTTATTTCTCTAATTCTTATTTTATTGTTCTTACTTCTCTAGTAAAATGCTGTTGAAAGTACTGTGCATGTGTGGATGTCTATTAATCATCAAGCTAGTTGATCTAAAGCAATTTATTGCAACTTTAATAACAATAATAAGTATTATTATTTATTAAAGAACTTAAAAATTAATGCTAAATATTTTTGAGATGCCTTATCTCTGGCATGATATATATACAGTACAGTGCACTCATTTTTTTAAGGACAAAAATTAAGATAAAGAAATAAGTGCTATTTTAATGTGTGAAGATGTTTAATAGAAAATGCTTAATTTATTGCTTGTTCTTTCGGAATGACTGAGTGTATTTTCGGCAGAAATAGGATGTATTTTCTTCCCCTTACCAATAGTGAGGCCTAGAAAAACTCAGTAGAGCAGAAAATTGCATCAAAGCTAAGATGTAGCCGTGAGACACTCGACTGCATTAAGTATTTTTTTTTTTTAGGGGAAATCACTAATATATAGCAGAAAACTGTGCTTCTATCTAATTAAGGTAAAGTGACAACGTCAGCTCATTTCTCAATCATTTAAAAATATTTGTTGCAAGTTTTTCTTTCCAAAATGAATTCTTTCTTCAGATTTGTCCTCATTTCCACTATACCACTCTATTAGACCACACTAGGATAATAATTCCAAGTGGTACTTCCTATCTCCTCTGACTTCTCCCACCACCCCTTTGCAGGCATTTTATTTGCAGATAAAAACCATAACCCTGAATAAATTTATCTCAAAAGCAAATAAAGATGAAGAACTAAATGGACTTTTAAACTGTTATTTTGGCTCGCCACTATCTCCTTGTTTTATTCATTTATGTTTAACAGAATCTTTTCAGCTTGAATGGAGCATTCTGTGCTTCTCTAAATTGTCTTAATATTATATTCCTGTTTCACAGAAGTTCTTGATTTATATTAGATGAAGACTAAATGAGTAGCTGCAGGGATGCATATCAACAAAATAATTCTCCAAGCTCCAGCTGTTCTTGAGAAAAGCTGCAGTGGGAATCACAGTGTAACTGCCAATGGTAGAGGTGAAATGAGGGAGTGAAGGGATTGGTGGGGCATCACATCAACCAGCAATGCAGTTTCTAAGTAATTCATGTTCAGAAACAAACACGCTATGGATCAGCCATTGGGTCTTGGGTTTGGAGACATTAAGGGATATGGAAGGGGAAAGGCTCAATGATAGGTTGTTTCTATAAAATTCTTTTAAGGATCAAAATGCAGTGAATAAAAATGCCCATCCTCTTTTACCCAGAAAGCATATAAAACCCGTTGTCACTGGGCTGATTCCAACTCATGGTGAACCCAAGCCTCAGGGCTCCCACATCAGAGCAGAACCATGCTCTGTAGGATGTTCAAGGGCTGAGTTTTTGAAATTGAACTGACATGACTTTCTTCCCAGGTGCTGCTGGGCAGACTCATGTACCCAACCTAGCAGATGAGGGCCTTAACCGTTTGTACCACCCAAGGACTCAGGAAAGCATGTAGACAAAGTTGTCCACTGAATGTCAGTAGTGTAGTCCACATTAAACACAGTCTCATTTTCATGAACCAATCCTTTTGGCTTAAGACAGAGACCTTTGAGATCTCATCAGTACACTTAAGTGACAAGTTTTATGATGATTTGTTTGGTGTTTTAGTTGACTGTTGTTGTGTGCCATTGAGTTGGAACCATCCCATAGCTGTCCAGCAAGTTTTCAGAGGCAGTAATTGCACAGGAGGAGACTGACCATTCTTCTTCCATGGAGCGGCTGATAGATTCAAACAGTGTGCCTTCAGGATTGCAGTGCAGATTCTTACCACTAGGCCACCAGAGCTCCCTACTTTTTTATATGCTTTATTGTGTACACTGAGCAGAGGTCAATTTTCATGAAGCCTTCAAGTTTGGGCTGTTTCTGAAATTTAGGTTGTACATACAGGTCATGATTTGGGTTCTTTATAGGCTAGTATTATTCAGGGTTGAATTAGGTGGATTGCATACGTAAAGAAAATAATACAGCACAGAGATGTAGAATAAAATAAAAACATAAAAGCTTCCAAAGAAGCTTTGGATAAAAAGCTTTGATATTTCTCAGGCATGATTAAGTTTTTCTGGTATCTCAGAAATATTGGAACATATAAAAAAAAA